CATATAAACATTTGTATGAACTAGCTGAAGGCTCCGCGTTGCTGTGGTATTTATCATAACAATTTGTTTATTAAACAGAAAGAGTAATTCAATCTATTGGCACTCTTTGGCGTAGCCTACTTCACCAACAGTTAAAGTGAGTTCGAGCAAAACGAGATTGATGAGATAATTAATTAATCTAAAGGAATATGCTATACAATGTGCTCTCATCTTTGCTTTATACATTACCTATTGATTGATTGATAAGTGATTCCGGGCGCGTCAACTTCTAAGGTCACTAATCCCGCAAGTGTAGTGCGTGTTTTGTCTCGGGCGATCACAGTCGTCTTCCCCCGCTGGATGGCGAGGTCCGACGCCGCCCTATGTCAGCTTACGGGGATTATCCCCAACAAGCAGGCACCGTCCCCAGCCGGGACGACCTCTAAGCTTCCAACTAATTTCCTGGAATGTGCGGTAGTGTGGTAGTGTCATACACTACCGTAAATGCGTTCATGAACAACTAGTAAACATTGTTCGATCCGAAAGCGCTATGCAGAATGGAACGTACAGTCACCTCTGGTTATAGTCAACACGGATATAGTGAACCCTCGGTTATAGTGAACTTAGGTCTTAGGTCCCGTTTAACTTACATTACAAATAAGCATAAGAAAACTCTGCTGTACTGAACGTAGGAAATTATTGTCCTGGAATTAATTCCCTAATAGAAAATAATATGTCGCCTTAGTGCCACAAATTCCAACACTAGGCAACTTGGAAAAATGTCAGCCAAAGGCCGTAATAGAAGTAGTGTCCCCTGGGGTGAAAGTAGGGGAGATGGAATAGGTACCATACTGAAGATCTTATGCCACTCAGTTTCACAGCTGAAACGAAGATGGTGTCCTGCGTGGTGTGGTGTGCTGCAACTGGCGGCGGCGACGCGCGATTGCTTACTTCAGCGTCAATCTTGGTGTTTCTTTATATTCCATTAGTCAAAGATCGTTGTGCCGCACGGAAAAGCGATCAGTTTCATTGCCCGCTTGCGCCATCCCGCTACCGAAGAATTCTCGTATATTATTAGTCTAGTTAAAAAGCCTTCAGAGAAGGGACGTTAGTCCAAGAGGTACTCAAGGGTGTCATGACTGCATTACGATACTTATTATTAGACACAGAAGACCATATACTAGTCTCAATTATGGAGAAAGCATTAACTGTGAAGAAGGATCTAATGAAAAAGGACAAAGCAAACAATTGAAAAGAAATTTATTTTTTAAGGAAAATTAAAGATTTTTTTGTTCCTGTTGTTAATTTATTTTGCTATATCTTTATATTAATAAAATTAAACTTTATGGAAAAGCTATATTTAATTTTGATGTACTCGGATATAGTGAACCAAAAATATTAGTCCCCAGAAGTTCACTATTACCGGAGTCGACTGTACTTGGGCGGAAGGAAAACAGATTAACATCCGTTCATCACAGGGCGCCGGCTCCGGTCTCTAGACCTGTGTGATAATGTTTCCATAGCGCGTATCGCTGGAAATCGGACATTACGCTAGCTATGTATGATAATCTTTTGGGTTTGCTGTTTGCAATGCCTGGAAGTCAAAACGATAATCTGAAGTGGAATTAAATCCCCTCGAATGGAGTTCCTAGAAGAATGTTCCAAAGAGATGTCCCTTTTCCAAAGAGATGTCCCTGCTCCTTCGGAGAGGGTATCTATTATTAAAAAAGGCTTCTAACAGCCGTCAGGTCCCATTGGTGCCACCTTGACAAATTGATATTTTGCCTGGACAAATTGGGTTGTTAGAAACATCTCGACTGGCAACACGTCGCACCATCAGAGCTTCAGTGATATCCAATGTGTCAATGCGAATTATAAAATATCGATTACTGTTGGTAGGACGACCTCTGGGACGTCCCGTTCTGACAACTGTTCATCGAAGTGCGCTTTGAAATTGTATGATAAGAAACAATATTGAAGGAATCTATCTGTATTGTTATTCAGAGTCGTTGGAAATGCGATAACAGAATAGCTAGGTAAGATAGTCTGTTGGGAGTTTTGTTTCATGACGGTTATGAACGTCGCTCATGTGATATTGAACAGAACGTTGTGTTTGCACTCAATCATCGGCATAGCACGTGTGATAATGGTATGAGTGGCGATCAGGTATACCTATCTATAATCTCTGGCATTCATTCAGCTAAGAATAAAGAGTGCCTCCTATGCCGGAGTCTTCTTCAGCCCTTTATGCATACTGTACAGGGACACTTTGCAATAATCATCTGTAAAGAAGAATAACGGACGAATGCATGTCGCAAGACCAACTCAGCATGTTGGATAACTCTACACCCTAACCCTCGCCTTACATATGTTGAGACCCCAGCATCATCGAACTCAAGTAGCACATACCCTCCGATATAAACAGAGTGGCACTTCAAAGTCATGAGCTGGACGGAGAGGGGGAACACAGTCACTTAATCGAGAGTTTTGCCATAAGCAAAATGTTTGATATTGGCACTCCCGGTTGGATGACAATGTCCCCCTCTCCTTGCACCTCGTGGTCTTTAGATGCCACTCGGAGTTTTCAGAAACAAATCTGGATGGCCGACGTGGTTGGAGCGTGTGCAGACTCAGCGCTTTAGTCAGAAGGGTCGCGGATCTAGTCCCGTCGTCATATGGTTGTCTGTCCCTTAACTTTCATGTGTGTGTGTATTTATGTGTCTTGTGTTGTCGCGGATGGCTTTGCGAGTCTGCTGATCACAGACACCGAGAAGCCCGCAAGTGTCTAGTGAAAAGCTTAATATATTTCTCCACGAGAGACATGGAGTGGATATTCGGCGCGAATATTTGAAATCGACATACCCTGAAGCTGGACAAAGCTCCAGGAAGAAAACAATATAGGAAGAAAGCTTACTTGCCAGGGCAGACCCGATCGTGACCGTCGCGTCAACGTGTAAAGCGAGTGGTAGACGAGAGCGTAGGCTTCCGCGGCCGGAGTCAGTATTTACTAGGCTGTCCGGGTGACGCCGCGTCCATGGCGAAGGTGCCGACGTTTCGGTCGCCATTCTGCGACTTTCCTCAGGGCATTAAGCCGTTACTGATTAAAAGTAAATACTGAGTGGTCGACGTTGATAGGTGCAATTGAATGACAAGTCACCTGACACAATTTCTGTGTTTGCGGCTATTAACGATAGTTACACTATTTTTAAGCTATATTTAGAACTCTGAAACAAATTTTCTGGATGTTCTAGGCATTTTGTGATTTAATCAATCCGACAAGCTATATCTTTCTTCCTACGCACCAACTCTCAGGTAAATTTGTTCGTTCTTTCGGGCGCCGCTTCATTTCAGATAATGTCTTATTTATTTTCATCGTGGTATGGAAACATTAAATTAATAAGTTAATCCAAAAATACCACTTCAAAATATTTCGCTGTTTGTTCTCTAGAAAAGAAACACAACTGTATAAAACCATAATATACGAAATGATACTACTTTTCCTCGGGATAGGAATAGTTGAAAAATAAGCACATGTAATCAGTGTCGAAGTGTAAGAAATAAATTATCATGATAATATTCAGCTATGAATAATTTCATGTTGAATATTTGATATGGGTTACCTTGTAATCCATTTTTGCTCAAATTATCTTAGGGAGGTTTCTATTCGTTAAACAACCCTTTCCATTGTATGAATTGAAGGTCTCAGTACAACAAGAGGCTATCCCACTTTTTTTACAATGAAGGATTTTTACAATAACCTGCGTTGTGCTCACGCGTGAAGAACGAAGCGCCTCCTCTGTGAGCCATGAAGATTGCAGAGGAGTGGCGCGGAGCAAGTTGCAATCGCGAGTGCAGCTCCGCGCGTGGCCATCCCAGGAGACGCTGCGCTGGTGGCCACGCCGAAGTCGGAAGCGGGGCAGAATCAGCGGTGGTGTTGGCAGTACGAACGGAGGTAGAGGCGAAGGTCGTGGTGGATGTGGAAGGGAAGGGGGAGGAGGTGGTGATGGTGTGGAGAGTCAACGCCATTGGCGGTTGCGATGGCGGAGGCGGTGAATCAACGAGAAAGAGAGTGGAGACAAATGCGGAGGCAATGGTAATGGCCGAGAAGGAGTCAACAGCAAAGGCGATGGTGAGGGTAGTGGGGAAGCGGGAAAAGGCGGGGGAGGAAGTGATGTCAATGGCGAAGGGGGAAGCGAAGCCTGAGGTGAGAGCGGAGGGGGAGGCGTAAGAGGAGTGGGTGGAGTTGGCGGTCGTGATGGAGACCCGGAGGCGGGGACGGAGGCGGGGACGGAGGCGGGGACGGGGGTTGCGAGGCGGGAGCGGTGGCGGAGGCGGGGGTGAAGCGACGAAGTCTCTCCAGGGCCTCGCGAAGGCGGCGTGGGGCGTGGGGCGAGAGAATCTAAACGGCGGCGTTTCCGCTGCGGCAAACGCGCCTGGGGGCGGGGCTCTGTTTCCAATTGCGCTCGATGGAGCGACGGGGCGACGTTCTTTTGTAAATAGAGGCGCGGCGCCGGCAGCCTGCCCCCTTCCACCAACGGCGCCGCTTTCCACTACGCAAATCGCTGTTGTCGCCGCCGCCGCCGCCTTCGTCGCCCCACGGTCTCACTCCATCACCTATTGCCTCTTCTGCCGTCTCCGCGTTTCCCTTGTCATCTTCCTTAGAAGTAAAGAGGAAAATGAAAGATCTATCTTCCTTACTCCATTATCTCTTTTGCGTTCTTCCCTTTTCTATCCATTCTAGTTTCTTGTACTGTTGCTTGCTTTTTGTGAATGCTCTTTCCCTTAAACTATATTGCATTTCTTTGTTACCCTATTTTCTCTCAACTATAACATTTTAAGGTACAAAGTCTCTCAAAAAACCACCTTCAATCAAACTGTTAATTTACTTCTTTCTGATAGATTCAGTGTCTTTCCAATATTTGCACCAAACCTCTCGGCACTAGTATGTTTTTGTTTTGTTTTGTTTTGTTTTTTTCCTTTTGTGGAACTCTAGTACCCTATCACCTTTCCGGCTTTAAAAGATGGCTCCTTCACGGAGAGTCCGTACTGCTTTAACGCACACAATAACCCGCAAAACAATTGTTTTGTTTCGTGAGTGTATTGTAAGATACTGCAGGCTCAAAGCGTACCCTTTCAAGAGATTTCAAGAGCCGACATTTGAGAACCTGCAGTGCGTCCGGTAAATAAGTAATTGGCGCACTGTACTCACCAGTTTACTTCGTAAAAGTATAAGAACGGTAAATATTCTGGAAGAAAAACCTCTTTTCGACTTCTCATTATTCATTGATAATCATCGCCAAGTGGATAACTGCAATTCAAAGTGTTCGGACTTTTGTTATTCATCGTTTGAATGGATAAAGAACCACCGTTCCGCCGTTAATTGCCACCACGAATGTATCATATTCATGTATTTAATAACGTCCTTATAAACTTATGATTAATTTCATATATAATATCCTGTGGCGGATCGTGACGTTTTTTGGTTCTAAAACAGGTAAAAAGCCCCAAGTAATCCTCTCGTCCTTACAACAATAATTTAACTACCATTGTACAAATTCAATTAATAAAAATCTCACAAAATGCAAGGTAGGATTTCTATTGAGACAACGTATGTCCGTAACAAAAACACGGATATCTTGAAAAGACACCACATTCGTGTTCTTTTAATCAACCTGTGCGAATGTAAAATATGTCGATTGATGGGCTTCTCGTTTAATATAGTATACACCTCTTTGGAATATGGCATAAGAAATATGTCTCACCGTTTGCAGAACTGTGACTTGCAGTTTGCAAAAGACATGCGCAAACTGTCCCTTTGTGTGTAACAGCGAAGGCCCGTATGCATCTATAAAGAGACAACAGCCACAGCTTGGAGAACAGTTACCACTTGGAGGCAGCAAGTGTCGGTTCCTAGGAGAGATATTAGTGCTACCTTTGAGTCCGACAAGTGTCAAGTTTGTCCCGAATTCTCAGCGAATAGGCACAACATTTTCGAAATTCATGGATTAGGACGAAATAAGTTAGGCATATTCATGTTTTTTTCGATAAAAACACTTCCAATAAGAGGCTGAAATAACTGCCACTTAGTATGTTCAGAAAGGTATGTCAGTATTAAGATCAATAGTGAGTGGGACCGGGCCCCTATGGACCCTTAGGACCAGCCGCTTTGGAATGTATCTACTCTAACTTCTCAACACTAGAAGTGACTTTTATGGTACACAAGTACAAGTGTGTTTGTGGACCTAAAACGAAATAGATTGTAGAAAACAGGACAACCTTGAAAGCCTTTCGGATTTTTATGTCCACGGAGGCTTTTAGAATTATTTATGCCCATTTGATAGCTATAATGCCAACAACACTATTTTTTGGAATTTATTAAACTTAAAGAATACAAATACAAAATTCACCAATTAAGGGTTAAATGTAATCAATTAAATTGATACTAAACTCAGTCATAACTCACACCTCATAACTCGAATCACATAATTCGTACTCCATAACACAAATTCCATAATTCGTACGTCATAACTCAAACCCAACTTTCTCGAATAACTTTGACGCTAACATCTCTCACCGGAACCCCACTCGCTCGAACCCCTCTCGCTCGAACCCCTCTCGCTCGAACCCCTCTCGCTCGAACCCCTCTCGCTCGAACCCCCCCGGCTCCTCCGCAGCCTGAAAAAGCTCTAATCTCCCGACACATGAGGTCATGTTGACCCGAACAAAGCTGAGGAGGGAAAGATCGCGCGTAGTTTGAGGCCTGTTTGTCAGGGTACTCCATGGCATCCTCTTGGAATTAATGGAAGAATTCACGGAAAACTACTGCTCACAACAATTGGCCGCTAGAATTCTCCTCCAAACAAGTGTTGAATTAGACCTCGCTAGAGAGCTAGTGTCGAAAGTCCTGCTTTCGCCGGATCTCGAACTCAAGGAGCTCTCGTTCAGAGTCCCTGAGAAGAGACAGGAAATAGTAGCACAGGGTTATTTCAACGGCCTGCTTTTCGTTAAACGTCCTAAATTTTAGAAAATTACAAAATTTTAATATTTTTTTAGCGTCTAATAAATATTTCTCATTTCAGTAGATGAAGGACAATTACACTATTAAAATGAGATATTTTTCCTTAACGAAACGTTCTTCAAAATTAAAACTTTATTTAATGTGACGTACAATGATATTAGCAAATAACGTGCCCATTAATCAATGACTCAAATATGCAAACTTTAAAAAAAAATAGATATCGTACTATTTTCATTAAATCCTTTACATTTTCGAAAGTTGTTCATATTCAAATTAATTTTAAAAGCTTCGAGGAAATTGTTATACCGTCACATCAGCGGTTATGCTGTTAAGTCTAAGTACCGAAATTCGAATTCAGCGTGGTCGAATATTTGCATGTAGTATTATAATATTACGTAAGTGTTACATATAAATCAAAAGGTATATGCCGTGTAAGACCATTAGTTTTTAAAATATTCTTGGCCAAGCTGTTAATTATTCTAGAATTTAAAACTTTAAAGATACTATTTAACTGCGAATACACGCGTACCGTCCTTATTGCAATTATTTTCTTCGTAATGATATTTGTTATAATGATTAAGGCATTCAACGTCTATATTAATTCTCACAGTTATTAACAACTTTCTCATCAAGGTAATAACCATCTCGTAAAAAGTAAGTGCAATATGTTCTTTATTTTGTTAAAAAAATTATATTTTCATTATTGTATTTTTGTAGTATTTTCACTCTTAATTATTTTATCTCATTATCTTTCACAAAAATTCAGAGTTGTGGATTCAATAAATGTTTTACAGTAAAAAAACAAATCAAGCTATCCATAATTAATAATGTATAACCACTTTTTTCATATCTTCCAAATATGGTCACAGTTATTAATGAAGCTGAATTAATCGCATTATCTGGCACATAACACCAGACCAATCATATTTTCTAGCTTTTATGCATAATAGTAGTAGCATAATTAATGTAGGACAATGTTATAAGTTTTGATCGAAATGTCTCTTATGCAACCTAAATTTATTGCGCAGTTGATGCCTTTGATGTGTTACGCAAAACGTAGCTTGTTTGGTAAAAGAAAAAATATTCGACAAAAATTACTTGTTAATACATAATGCTTTGGAAATTCGGAGTCTACTCAAAGACGTTTTGTGTAAAGCACGTAGACCGAGCCTTCGTCATTTACGTGGTTACGCGTACTGAAATGTCAACTGAGCCATAAATGTATTTGGTTATAGAAAGTGCTATTCTGAGAAAATAATATATGGTCAAGTGTCCGTATTATCCTGTATATAGTTTTAACTGATAAACTCCTGCTTTTCAGGGAGAATTTAATGTTTCATCATTATTTTATAGGTGTCTTTCACTGAGAAACACAGTAAAAAACTTGTATTAGTTCGGCGCTCCATTAACTTACTGCACTCGCTGAACATTAAAATTCTAATTGAAATGTAAATTCTTTCGTAGGCCTTATGTAATGTTTGTCTACCTCACCCCAGTTTATAAACATCTTTTCTTTGGCCCACCTCCACTCTGCACCCTCTTTTCAAAGAATGAGTTTCATTTTAAGAGCCAAAGCGCCTCCGGGCTCTTTTAGCCTCTTCCTGAGAGCCATAAAGAAGCCGCTAGATGTGTTCTCAACCGTAAAATACTCTTGTTTGTTTACGTCATAGAAGACTAAATCACACAGGGATTTCTTGTGGCTCGCGGTGTGCACAGTCTGCAGGTCTCGGGGTTTCTACATTTGTTCACGGTTGGCGGACTTTTCATTTATGCTTCGTTGCTAATTACAAAATCCTATTTTCTCAGAATTTTTGTCACAAAGGGTTAGATGCATAAGCTTTCGTTTTTTATCTACTTATGTACTTTTATCAAAACTTTTCATGAAAAGTAATGTAATAATGCCCATGTGAAGGGTTTGGAGGTATCTCGCGTTTGAATTCAAGCACTCCCGACAACATAATGTATAATAATGAACAGCTAGAACTGGGTAAGTTAGATTAGAGACACATTGGTAACGGTAATGACGTCGTATTTAATATTAAGCAGTCAAGAGAATTATTTTAATATTTTGAAATTGGAAAAGTGGTCTACATTAAAACCGATAATTTGTAAATCAATATTGCATATAGTACACTGTTTGTAATACAATGTACTGTTCTTCTATGCTTACTTCATAAACATTATTGCATTACTAAAACTAGTGGTGCTATAGAATGGCACTGACTTTCCCGTATTAATTTTCTTTTTCGTTTGATTCTCTTGCCAGCTGCCATCAATACCGCCCAGGGTATAGTTTTTTGATATTTTTCGTAATTTTTCGGTTTCCTAATTGTGGAGCGAAAATATTATTTTAAGATTATTAATGAACAGCAAAACCTCCTCCCAAATGGCAATTTCCTCGGAAATATTCGGTGACGTTTTAAAAAAAACTAGTGTTTATGCGTACTGAAATTTAAAGCTTTTTTTTACAGAAAATGTAAGTCATTTGAAGAACTTTTTCTCACAAATACAGTAGTGTTTACAAATTGCTTGAAATGCATACATATCAACAACGTGAGAGATGTTTCAAAAACTTTACATTTGCGTAATTTTTGAAAAAACAAATAATACATTGGAATGAACTTAACGTCATATTAGAGAGCACAATGAGTACCATACCTTCGAAAAGTTTGAAGAAAAAAATTAGACCCGTTTTTGAAAAAGTGGTGTTTGAGCGTGTCTGAAAATGCCGAATTTTGAGCTAGTTTTCCCAGAAAACGATAGTTTTCAAGAAACTTAGTGACATTATTTACAGAACATGTACTCATAAATACAATAGTGTGAACAGATCGCCATTACTATAAATTTAAACAACATGAGAGTCGAGTCAAAAAATTACATTTTTGTAACAAATTAATAGAGCTATCTGGCGCAATATGGCGTTTATGTCATCTTATATAGTATGTATAGCACTATCTCTGCCTAAAGTTTAAAGAAAAAATTTGGTGCCGTTTTTGAGAAAATCTTATTTTTGTAATTTTTTTAATTGCACATTTTGCACGCAATATTGCGCGAAGACTACCTTTTTTTTAAATGTATGTGACTTTAATGAAAGAACACACTATGGAGAAAATAATTATTTGAATGGAAAATATATATCTTTAATTTTGTGGTTGTAGGAAGATCCAGAAAAAATAAAACTTTTGAAATAATCGAAAATTTAGAGTTAACCGTAAAAATCGGACCTATGCTACCTTTATAAGTGTATTTTACTCTATTCTTACAAGAAATTTTTTAAAAAATTGGAGCCCATTTTGAGAAAGTTTAGAAAATGTCTGAGGGGCTTCATACAAAGTACCCCCAAAATTTATGAATGATTTTCTAAATCGCAGATCTTCAACTCAGGCCAAATGGACAGGGGTTTCTTCAATTTGGAAAAAATCCTTCGCATGGTTTAGGCGCTCTTATTGTTCACATACACCAGATGGACAGACGTTTTGAAAAAAACATTTTTCGGTACCCCAAACGTGTATTTCCGTTGAAATCTCAAAATCGATTTTCCGCTGCATTACATAACTTTCCCTATACTACGTACATTACTCCGTATATACGTACTTATACGAGAAAGTAAAACTTGATGATCAGACAGAAATAGAAAATAAATGTAAGAATTAATATTACTACTTTCAAATTATAAAGGAAACAAATTTTACTTTGGCGCCAATTTCAATCCGAATTCATGAATTTTTCTAAATTCATCAAATTAGGAGTATTTTGAATCTTTCTTGCACATAATTTCTATAATGACAAATGTAGGTAGACTACATTAAAGAAGAGCTTGAAGAATAAAAATATTAAAATACTTGACAATTCGAAATGTAGAAGAACGAAAAACGTATAACTAGAAAATACTTCACACAAATAGCACACAAAAAGTAATGTGTTACAAAGCATTAAAATAATTCAATTGATCATTACAAGGAATGCTAAAATAATTTCTCGATTGTATCTAAGATATTCATAATCTTCCTAAGCAATTTTCTGTCGTTGCCGCTCAATAGTACGCAAGGTAGCTAGTATGTGAGCCATATAAAGAGTAAGGGTGGTTCGGACCAATATGTCAAATTTTGTCGTGAATTCAATAAAAACCCACTCCCAATTTACTTCCACGCTTGCCAACTAGATCAGGGGTCCCCGACGGGGTCTGTATAGACCCCCTGGGGGCCGATAAATTTTTGAAGGGGATCTGTGGTGATAAGGGATCTATTGGGGATGAATAGTGTAATACGATCTGGCGCCTGATCAGGATAATAAAGATCTCATCCGTTAGATTCCAACGATATGAATGAACTTAATTACCTTTATTCTTATATAAAGCAACAAAACGTATGATAATACATACAAATACGCTCAGATGCTTTCGTATTCGTCGTTCATCCTTAGGAATCATATATGATGCTTATAATTCTCCTACTCAACAAATTATAAATCAATTACTCCTCAAATCGACGATTACAACGACACTCTAACGCACAAGAAAACACTTCCTGCAACACTCACGGAAATGTAGTGATCAGTTCTTAAAAATCACGGAACATTTTGTAACCATTGAATTTCAGTAAAGATTAGAAACTCAGCTACTCTAAAGCGGAAGCGTTTTCGACAATTAAAATATTGAGATATTTAAGACAATATTGGTGCATGAAGTTATCTTTACGGCATTTACATTTAGGTGTTTGAGGTGGCTTAGGGCTTCAGCAGGTGTCACAGCAGTGATGATATGGGCTGTCCGCCTGACGACGCGTCGAAAGCTGAGGTGCCGCCGTTTTGACCAACGTATCACGGTCTTCTTTAGAGCGCCAGGATGTTGGGCGCTCCGGTTTATATACTAGGTGGGTCACCTAAAATAATCACAACCTGGCCCATCTACCATATAAACCAAAGCGCCCATCATCCTGGCGAACTAAAGAAGACCGTGATACGTTGGTCAAAACGTCGGCAACTCAGCCTCCGATGCTGCGACAACCGGACAGCCCAGATCATCACTGCAGTACGGATACGAAAGCAGCTGAGCGTATTTGTATGTATTATCATACGTTTTGTTGCTTTATATAAGAAGAAAGGTAATTAAGTTTATTCATATTTTTAGAATCTAAACAATGATATCTTTATTATCCTGACCGGCGTCACTGCAGTTACTTTGCCCGGAGGTCTTAAGGTTCGAGTTCCTACGATGGATTTTCGACACTAACCAGTTAGCTAGGTCGAGTTCTGTTGCATTCTGGAGGCAATTACTAGCGGCTGTCTGCTCTAAACGATAGTTTTCCGTGGTTTCTCCTATCTATATCAGATGGATGGCGGGCCTGTACCCCACCAAATAGGCCACGGACCGCGCGCGCGATCTTTCCTTCCCATTCCTTGTCCTATCCTACCCCTTACACACACATTTACCCGCACAAAACTACCACTCATGTCGGGAGCTGAGAGCTTGTCCCGGTTGTGGGAGTGCCCCACTGGGGGGGGGGATATCCCTGGTTGGGGAAAACGCGACGGTAGGTTGGTGCCGGATCTCGCCATCCAACCGAGTAAAAAACATGCACAACACTTACAAGACTAATTACCCTAGTATTTGACGCGCCAGGAATCACTAGTAATCAATCAAATAAGGCATTTATGTGCAATTCCTTGTGTCATGATTGTGGAGCTGTATGATGTAGAGAAACGTAAAGCGGACGGTGAAGAGAACAATTTGTGTAAAAGGCGTGATGAAAGAAAAGGTTGGGAATCCCTTTTTTATTACTCAACAAATATTTACAATATATTTCAATTTTGAAATAATAAGTGAATACTGTAACAAATGAATAATAAAACAAATGAAACAAAATTTAAAATAATACCCATTGGTAATAGGAAATACCTCATGAAGATGAATCCCAAAACCTTCACAATAATTACGTTAATTATAATTTTGTCCATGACGAGCCAAAAAAACTGAAATGGTAAAATGATTTCCTTCTCCAAATTGAATCCTGGAAAACTTTCACACTCATGAATCTGGAACACTATTTTTTAGTCAAAAGACATAAAACTCGCCTCACAAATGTTCTACGAATCCCCCTGCGGTCGATAAACTCGACGCGAAAACAAATATTCAGATAGTTGTGAAATTTGGGATGCAAAAATATCAGTGGCAACGCTTTCTTTGTAACAATATAGCGACCGAGTCGAGTTAGTACATAAACTTCCAGCGGATGATCCTTGTGAGAACGGGGAGAGCCACTTGAGGCTGACGGATCGGGAGAAGTCGCTAGCTGACCCTCTTTCAGCCACGAAACAAGATAATTAAGCTAATGAATGATAAAGTTGTATATCATGGCGCTGTCTGGCCATAAAATATTCGAAAGCTGCTTGTAGCATCTTACCGCCCCCGCCAGAATAAAAAAAACAGGTGATGAACGAGAAAAAAAAATTGTATTTGCTTGGCTGTCCGGGTGACGCCGCGTCCATGGCAAAGGTGACGTCGTTTCGGTCGCCATTCTGCGACCGCGTAACGTCCTTTGGCAGAATGGCGACCGAAACGTCGGCACCTTTGCCATGGACGCGCGTCACCCGGACAGCCAATTAAATACTGACTCCGGCCGCGGAAGCCTACGCTCTCTCGAGAGAAACATTGTGTACGTAAAAAGTTGATCGCTATTCGAGAAATAACATGGTAACAGAGGGAACAGTAAAAGAAGGGGGAATGAGTCAAGGACTCAAATGGCAGATAATTCAAATGGACAGTGGAATTTGGAAAGCGCGTTTCATTGAGTTGGTATGACCATTTCACGAATATACGTTGACGTGAGGACAGTTCATTTAAACAGATAAGTATCTTTGTTAAATCTCCTAACGTCAACCAAGTTCGTTAAAACAATTATTGCACTAAACGCAATACAAAACCATATTTTTATTCAGACTTTTAAATTTAATTTTACTTTCAATTGGAAATTTGAAAGAAAAACTGGTATGTTTCAATTTACTGTATCTTTTTCTTGCTTTAGTGGGGCCTTGCTTGAGTAATTAACATTGCTTTTAGAGTAATAACTGTTAACTAATTGTTCCAGTGACATCGCGAAAAGACTGTAATGGGCTAGGTAGCCAATGACGAACCGTCATCCCTAAGTCCTTTTTTTCAACCATTTTTAAAGCACATGCCAGTTGCTCTGCTCGCAGCGCCCGCAAACTCCAGAAAGCTAATTACCTTCCCCGCGTCCTGGATATGGTCGATTTAAGAATGGAATAAAGAATGCGACTAGCCACAGGGAACTTCCTTCGAAAATACCTTCGAAGTGTGTATACCTTTATTGCGCGTACTATTAATTTCATATCACTTTTCAACTAAGTACTTTATTTACTGTATACAAATATTCCAATTGTCGTTAGGCTACACGTTTTGATAAGATTTAATGACATATTAATTTCCGCGTATTTTTCATTAAATATAGTCACTTTAATATCCGGTCATCTAGGGAAATAATTTTTATTACATTTATCTGTGTTTAAAGAGCTGTGGCTACACATCTCTCGGCATTCTAGTGCTAAAAGAGTTAATTTAATTTTATTTATTTATTTCATTTATTTAATTTTATTTATTTATTTAATTTTATTTATTTAATTTTATTTATTTATTTAATTTTATTTATTTAATTTTATTTATTTATTTTATTTATTTTATTTATTTTATTTATTTTATTTATTTTATTTATTCTATATTTATTTATTTTATTTATGTTATTTTTATTTATTTTATTTATTTATTGTTTGTTTGTGCGTGTGTGTTTACGTAAAAAACAGTTAAACATGTTGGCTGACTTGCTATGGAGAGTAGTTGTTTGAAGTTACATTTATGTTCAGAAAGCAAAACAAGGGGTCATCTCAGCATTTCTCGAGAGTCAGGGAAACTGTACAAAAAACCTGATCGAGATCGAGTCATTGACGCAGAAGCTGAAGCTACAAATACATGTTCATTCAGCCACAGGGAACTTCCTTCAAAATACCTTCGAAGTAGTGTATACCTTTATTGCGCGTACTATTAATTTCATATCACTTTTCAACTAAGTACTTATATTACCTGTGATACAAATATTCCAATTGTCGTTAGGCTACACGTTTTGATAAGATTTAATGACATATTAATTTCGCGTATTTTTCATTAAATATAGTCACTTTAATATCCGGTCATCTAGGGAAATAATTTTTATTACATTTATCTGTGTTAAAGAGCTGTGGCTACACATCTCTCGGCATTCTAGTGCTCAAAAGAGTTAATTTATTTTATTTATTTATTTTCATTTATTTATTTATTTATTTATTTTATTTTTATTTAATTTAATTTATTATTTATTTAATTTTATTTATTTAATTTTTATTTATTATTTTATTGTATTTTATTTTTATTTTATTTATTATTTATTTTTTATTTTATTTATTTTATTTATTTTATTTATTATTGTGTTGTTTGTGCGTGTGTTTACGTAAAAAACAGTTAAACATGTGTGTGACTTCTATGAGAGAGTAGTTGTTTGAAGTTACATTTATGTTCAGAAGCAAAACAAGGGGTCATCTCAGCATTTGCTCGAGAGTCAGGGAAAACTGTACAAAAACCTGATCGAGATGGGAGTCATTGACGCAGAAGCTGAAGTACAAATACATGTTCATCGGAGTTATACAACCCAAATAGTAAATAATACAGTAAATGTCATTGTTATAATTAATAGTACTTTCCTTTTGGATGTACTGTATAGTTTCTAATTTATAGAAACATTTGTGCAGCAGAAAAGATTTTACTTGAGACTTAAACTTTTGCATCGACTTTAATCGTTTAATGTCATCTGAAAAAGTGTAAAATAACGTACATGTATTGTATTTGAATTTTTTGTAGTGAGCTGTTGATACTGTCACCTGAATATGAGTTCGAATCATTTGCTCTTGTGTGATCAAAATACTACGATGGGACGTCAAGGATCGAATACTTCACGTGACCAGCGATAACTTGTGGTTACAAGGGCTATTCAACAACATAAATTGACAAAATGATGATCTGCCGCAAAATTCAGTCCACGACGTCGTTATGTGATGCGGATGACACGATAGAATAGAAAGCGTCCCGCACTAAAGGGCTGTTCACAGTCTTGCTAGAAAAGAGAGAGATACCCGATTGAGAAAAGTGAGGAAGAATCCTCCATTAAGTCCCCTTCGATTAAGTGCGTTCATCAAAAGTTCTATTTGATGGTTTAAGAAGATTGCGTAAAAGTGTGTGACGAAAAAGTCCTGGTTTGTGGCAGACAAAAGCAAATTTTTTCCAACAAGACAACTCATCTGCTCATGCAGCCATATTAGTGTGACACGTTTTTTATGCAAAAAATTACTCCCTGCCGAGAGAAAAGAGAAAGTTACGTAATGCTGCGCCAAAAACGGGGAAATTTCGACTGAAAAACTCTTTTTACAAGCTCCTGGTAATAAAAATGTGGATAAATCCAGCTGCTAAATTTAGGGAAAAAAAAATCCTCTAAAATGTGAAGTAGCCAGAATCCATGATTTGTGGTTCTTTGATATCAAAAGGTCGATTGACGGCAAAACGTCTGTCAGTCTGTGAACAACGCTAGAGGCAAAAGCCGATTTTCTACAAAATTGATGTTCTCCAATCGATCTGGTTGATGTTGCGTCCTCTTAAATTTGAAATCGATATTTTAATTTTGTGGGATACTTTGCATAAAACATTTTAGGCATTTTCAAAATTTTCTAATAATGGTTCATCGCTTTTAATGAAATGTTGAATAGCCTGAATGTCGGTTAAAAGAATGTACGTTTCATTTTCGTTAAAACTATTTGTTTCGAAAATATCACAAATTCAAAATTTTTGGGGCGTCTTCCTATAAATAAAATACTAAAGATAGAGATTACTTATCTTAATAAAATTTGTTTCGTAAAGATAGATTTTGAAAAGAGTTCATGTACAATTTTTTTGAAAATTTGAGTATTTTTCACGTAATTTTGAGTAAAATTGGGTACTCACTGATAACAGCGATAATGACGGTCACAGTTCGTTCGCGTTAATATAAACTAATAATTTTATTTACCGCTAAAATACGCATTACGCATCATTGGTTCAATAATTAACCAATTCATTAACCAATCAAGTTTTTGACGTCTGACGTCTGAAGTAACAATGAAGTGCGTGCCATCAGCCCGAAACGTCCAACTGACAACGCAGGCACCCACTGCAGAGCTGCAACGGCGAGCCAATCTGTGATCAAAGCTGTGCGCTCCTTGCTTCCAAGACCCCTGTGGTTACATTGCGTGGACCAGTACCCGTCGCCGCTGCGTGCGACCCTCCGATATTGACTAGTTCCACACATACATCACTGTCGTAGCAGCATACAGTGTACGGAGCGAAATGTCTCGGTTAAATGAACACATTCCCCGGTCAGCAATCATTCCGTCCCGTTCGCGCTCTCTCACTGATTGTAAGCCCTTTGACATAGACAAGGGATTCTCTCTCTCATGTTCTCGTTTCCATTTCGTTTGACCGTTGTTCATTGATTGAACTTTGCGAAACATTGACCCTCCCGGTAACACGACACAGGGGATTGTTGGACCTATGTGCACGCTCCCTCTCTCTACAATCTTACTGATTATTCCCTCGTGCACTGTTATGTTGAGAGTTTGAGTTTATTCATTCTAATCCTTGAAATATTTACAAATTTGATTGTTAAGTGATAATTTGTATCAAGTTGTTGGTTAATCTTGAGACACTAATACATTATTTCTAGATAAATTGAAGCGAAACCTAACGTTTCAGATATCTTTCGTGCCAAATTAAAACCTGATTTTATAATCTGCATTTAGTATAATATTAAATGGTTGATATTTTCATTTCATACCATTTTCAAGAAATTGAGGTGCTTTTAAATTAATAGTGATAATTATGCTTGAAATTCTAAAATAGTGAACATGGTGGTGTTTTTTTTTTTCTTTTTTTAACGCAATGCAGATAAGTCTTGGAGGTTAAAAAATATTTATATGCATTAGAAAAATAAAATTAATACGTCAAACGTTATGTCAAATGTGATATGGATCGAAATGGTTTGTATGTTAAAGGAAGCGAATTTAAGGAGATTAATTTAAAAAAATCTAGTACATCTTATCAATAAATGAGGTTATCATCTCTACAATTGAATATATCCGGGCATTTCAGTGATTTTGTCTTCAAAATGCTATTCTATATAAATTTCTCACGTTCAAATTACTTAAAAATCTAAACACCGAAAATTGAAAATGGAAATCTCTTAACACTGAGTATTCACGATGCCGGACATTCGGATTTTTATAACACTTCACCAGCTGATAACGCATAATCGAAAACGTATGCAGTAAATTTGAAAGTGCTTTAGGCAATTCCAGCAAGAGTTATCAACCAAAATAATATGAAGTTTCGTGCGGTCACCATTGGCCGTTTGACGAGCACATCGAGTATTGGAGGCCACGCCCACCATCACAACCTATAAAATACTTAGGACTTCACCTTGACACAAAACTAACCTGGAAAACCCATAAAGATATCAAAATTAAATAAGCAAGAAATAAATTATTCCAACTCTGGCCACTAATCAACAAATACAAATCCCTGTCATACACAATCTCTACAACAATATAAAAAGATAAAATAAGGCTCGTAATGCTCTATGCTTGTTCAATAAGAACAAACGCAGTCCCCACAAATGTCAATAAAATCCAAGTTATTCAAAACAGATTAATCACAAATGTCCCCTGGTTGATAAGTAATAAAAAACTCCATTCCGAATTAAACATCAATACAATAATAAACCAAATAGCCCATATATCGCATAATTTCTACCAAAACCTAACAGACATCCCAGCAGCATGCTATTTCAAACTCCAAAACAACAAAAAATCCAACCCACACCCGAATACAAAATAAGATTCCCTTTTGACACCGATCTCAAAATCTTAGCCAACCAATTCTCCCCTATTTCAGCCCTTAGTTCTCCTCTAGAGTATCCTCTCCAATGTATAGATTAAGTTAACTTAGATATTTTAACTGGCATAAGTCTAAAAACACATCTGTAAAGTAATTATACTAAGCGATGTACTCGTATTCCATCTAGAACTAATAAATATGATAAAAAATTACAAATGGAGGTCTCTAATTGAGACGACGTATCGACCCAGACATGAGCAGCAGCGCCTCACCAACTCAGTGTGGAAATCCGCTTACAAATGCTGGGGAACCACATGGAATGCAATATTTGGATCAGCTGCATTTCGGAATATTTTTCACTTCAGAACCAATTATACACTCCTCGTATTTCACCTGATAAGAAAAAAATTGATAAAAGGAATCTAGAAATATTAAAATTTGCTTTCAACTTCGTACGATTTACATATTACATTTTTTGGACGTTAGTCATTCCAATGACCATGTGTATTTTCAATTAGTGAAAGAAAAGATAAGTTCTGATGAATCAAAAGAAACAATATCTCGTTCTGAACGTTAATATTAATGTTTGTTAACGTTATTCATATCAAAACAAGTTACATACATAGAGTGTAAGTAAATATTTCACTTTTGCGTTGAAAATATTATTTTTACAATAACGTGGACTACCAAAAAAGCGTCCAAAATAACAGCTGAAGCATAGAAAGTCATCAAACACCAAAATATATGTAAGTTTCTTTTTCACTTTTCTTTGAAATAGCATTGGTTTATGTGGTCCTTACAGCTGACATCGGTAGAATCGTTAATCCAACAATCACTTCAAACAAGAGGGACCAGGGATATGCCCGTTGCCTTCTGCATAAAACAAATGTACGTGCTAAAAATCTGACACTGGTTGATAAATGTACCCATTTAAAGTTTCTGGCGCTGTCGGTACAGCTTTGTCCGCTGCGGGAAGCCAGAAGAGCAAGGGAGGTCTTGATGCAAATCGTCTCTAAAACTCTCTCATATTCCATTGCATTTCAAAATTTGGATTTGTGACTTTAGCAAAGTGTTCTACCAGCTGGTGAAATGCCATGAGAATCTGAGTACCCAGCATTATGAGTGTTGGATTAAGCGCCCAACTTGTTTCTCGGCATCTGAAGTAGAGAAACGCTTAAGTGTGTGTATGCATGTGTGTGCGTATATATAAAAGCGTAGAAAGGGGATAATGATAAGGAAGGAAAGATCGCGCGCGGTCCGTGACCGTTTTGTTAGGGAATGGTTCCGGCACTCGCGTCATATTGTTCCACGGGGCCAAGAAACACACCGATCAGAGCAGCCTGCCGGACAAATTCTCCAATCAGCAATGGCTGCATTCGCCCTAGCTACTTAGCCAAAGTCGAAGTACCTGCCACACGCGGGACTCGAACCCCTGGTCAGAGTGGCTTGCAGTGGCGATACTTCCCCCCCCCCCCCTGAGCTCATTCATTGGTCAAACCGTCGGGTTGCCCTCACACAGGGGACAGAAGGGAGATGACGTAAAATGTGTTCTGATGTGTCATTTCCTGAGAGTCTGTGGCTCGGTGGATGTCTTCGGGGTGGCCCTGTGTTAGTCGACGCAATGCATCAGGCGCGTCAAGCGCAAATTCCCCGAGGCGCGGGCTCTGCGGCGGGGGCAGACCGCGGCCGCCGCTGCGGCTGCGCGCGCATAATCGCGGGCGCGTGGGGAGCGCGTTTGACGGGCGGAGGGGCCGGGGGGGGGGGCGATTGCACGCCGCGGAGGTGGTGGCGGCGGGGCCGGCGCCGGCGCCGGCGCCGCCAGAGGGGCTGACACGGGCGGGGCGCACGCCTGCGAGCCAGGCAGCTGCGCACACGCGCTCGCCGAGGCCAAGACGCAACGCAGCTGGGCGAAAGACCAGGTCGCTTCGCCCGCTCGCCCCAAGCGCAAACGGAGCAGATAGGCAGTCCATAGGCAACTGGGTGTTAAAACAGAATATAATTATTAGTAACAGTTACGTACGATTAAATACCGCAATTTTTGGCCATGTTAACAAGTATCAGCTATCACATGTAAAAGTCATTTTAGCAATCATAACGCATTGGGTGCGAAATCTCGTTTATTTGAGATGATGCATCAATACGAAAACAGACTATCCAAAACTGCCTGAAACATCGCCCAAAAATGAGAAAGTAATTCTGAGAATTTCAATTTGCCGTGTTGCAGCCATTGCCATTGTAGTTTTGTGAACTCATAACTCCTGAAAGACTTCATCAAACGAAGTGCAGGAAATTCGAATTTTAAATTTCAAAGACATGAAAAAATTACATGAAACTACCCATATATTCAAACACATTGAATTGAGCTTAATGGGAAATCTAATTTTAAAGATTAGATTTCAGTTAGTAAAAACGTTGTACCATCATGATGTAATATTGCATTTGTTTGCAGTTCAGAGAATTTATCGAAAATTGAACATGCACCATATTTATAACCTCATTTTCTTCTATTAGAGAAAAAAAATCCAAAAAATTTGCCGCTTTTAAAACAATATTTTTAATTGTCTTCAATCACGCATGATTACGCGATTGCTACTCATGTTTTCGAAAAATTGGTACACAAACCTGATTTTAAATACTTGTATTTAGAGATATCATTAAGAATAATATATCATAAGCTCGATCTTCAATATTGTAATTGTAGGAAGAAGTCCTCTTTTCGAAAATTGACAGTTTAATAAAAATGCAAACGCGGCCGTTTTTTAAGGGGCATTTATTTTCTCTATCCGAGGTAAAAATATAATTAAAAAATTGGACCAACTCTTGAGAAAATTTTGAAAATATAAAGTCTTCAACAAAATCCCCCAAAAATGAAAATATTCTTTTCGAATTCTCAGGGACTTCGGGCAGAGTTCGATCAGATGGATGAATTAGTATCAGATTTTGAAAAAATCTTTTGAACACTTGTGGCGCTTGCTGTGAACAAAAACGGATAAGCAGACATTTTGTTGAAACCCAACTTTTCGCTATCAAGGACCCAAAAAATATACATTCTAAAAGCAGAACGTGTTGGAGGAAATAATTTACTGCATGTAAAAACAAGATTTTTCTACTTTTTTGGTATCAGAATTTTCCAGTACTAGTTTTGCTGTAATAGGCGTATCCGAAGGCACGAATATAACTAAAAAGTATTGATAACGAATCAAAGAACGATATATGCTCAAGATATGCAACTGTAATGCAACAAGCTACTCTAAAATTTGCATACTAATCTCAACATGTTCGAAATTCTTGTCGTTCCGCTTCGTTGCATAAAACAATCAGTGGTAAAACGACTCGTGCAAGATAAATATCCATACGCACGACATACTTTACAAAAATATGTACTACGTCTGATTAAACTTTCTCGTAGGTGTAATCCATTGAAAATCATTTCCCAGGACAGCTTAACACTGGTAATGCCGCAACAGGATATAATTTCTCGTATTATATATAACAGTTAGGTAATATTATAATAGTGCTACATCTAATATATTTATAATTCAGGCATCTGTTGAATTTTCAATACTTAAAGTGTTATAATGTTTTGTCAAAATATTACTTATACCATATTCATAAGTGTTTCACCCTCTTCGAGTCAGAAGTTCAAAGAAAAGAGTTCACACAGTTGCAACTCCAATCTCATCCTTCAAACCAACAGAAGACGTTCTCGCCGAAGACGCTTCTCTTACCATACAAATAGTTTCGTAATTATGTATACTATGTGATGAAAAGTATCTGGACACGTGGCTGAAAATGGCACGAAGTCGGCGTTCCAAAACATCCCAAACAAGTTGGATACGATTCAAGTCAGGACTCTCTGCAGGCCAGTCCATAACAGGGATGTTATTGCCGTGTAACCACTCCGCCACAGACCGTGCAGTATGAATAGGTGCTCGATCGTGTTGAAAGATGCAATCGCCATCCCCAAATTGCTCTTCAACAGTGGGAAGCAAAAAAGTGTTTAAAACATTAACGCAGGCCTGTACAGTGATTGTGCTACAAAACAACAAGGAGAGCAAACCCTTCTCCACGAAAAAACCGACCACACCATTACACTGTTTTGGACGTGTCCCGACACTTTTGATCACATATTGTATGTAAAGAAGGAAGAGAATCTTTAGACGAAAACTTACAAGAATTCGTAAAACTTCATTAGATATTATTTGAAACATTTGTGCACAAAAAATGCATTAAATCTAATTGAATCGGGATGATGACACGGTACGTATTACGTGATTACTTTTTTGCGGTACAATTTGCATTCCCTTAAAGAACAACTTGCCAACATTAAAAAAAATTGCAATTTTGACTTGTTCCCTTTCTCCTCATGGGGATTAAATTTATCCACAATGTTAATATGAACAAGTGAAATTTTTGAAGTAAGTACAAATGTTTATACAAATATACATATATGAAAAAATTGAAAACAAAGACCCCTTAGCTTTCAGTTTAGTAAATACAGGAGATATTTGTTTTCGTCTGTTTTTAATATTTGATAAAAGTCTATTAAACTCAATATATGATATTTATTACATTTTAATAAATAAGTGTGTCGTGTTTTATTGTAAAAGGTCAAAGTAAAAAATGATGGTAGTATTTTTGGTCTAGTAGTAAGAAGCTACACTACTTTTCTTTCCTACAGCGCCATCTACGACGACAAACATTTTCAATTAATTACCGGAAAATACAAATCTGCAGTAAAATAAAAAATTGGATTGTACTTGAAATATCAAAGTTGATCCTAACTCACGTAATATGTCGGCTGAATTTAGGCTGAATGTAGCTCAGGTGAATTTTACCTCTAAAATATTGGACTTTTATTCCAAAATTTGTTTGTACGCTGCTGGTCTCTCGAGATATTTCTATTTTTCACTTTGTGGGCCGTCCTTCTTACAGTTTCACGAAATGGCCTCCTAGAGTCTGAATACGCTTTCTACTGAGAAGCAGACAAAATGCGATGCGCCCGCATTTCCTATCGACTTCCCTTTGATGTTCTAAGAGAAGGCTCCTCGTCTTGAAATGTTTTCTCTGGAGCTGTCCAAGCATTTCTTTAAGAAGAGCACTGATTTACAATTCTTTGATGGCAGATGCCATAAAATCAATGTCAGATAAAAACTGTATATGAATTACTAGCATATTATGTGTAAAAAATATAAAACAGTCGTTCAAATGTTTTCGTAGGGAGAAATATTGCTTGACTGTTTAAAGAGGATAGATGAGGATAAGGAACTTTATATATTGGTAGTAACGAAACTTGATTTGTGTCATGTCGTGGAAACGTCTGTTTATTTTCGATCATTAATGTTTATTCTCGGCTGCGTCAGAACAGTTTTAATAATAGTTTACAAAATACTTTATATGTAATTTTTATTGCAAATTTCCAAAGATACGCTACAACCGTCAGCATAATCAATTAAATCTATTGAATTGTGTAAATATTGTACGACCAACAAACCCATATTCAACGTACGATAACAGCAAACCAACCAGATATCGTTATTCAGAATTTCAATAAGAACGGGCCTATTTGTACATGTTTTGCGATGCGACCAGAAAGTCGTAACGAAGGAGGCAGAGAAACTTCATGAACCCAAGAGATGAAGATCTACCGCGTGTGGAACGTAAAGAAATGTACCGATAGTTGCCGGAGTTCTGAAATACGTTACGAGAAATATATGTAAGAACTTGTAGAAACTTTCAAGCCATTCAGAGGATTGGAAATGAATGATATCATATTATTGGGAACAGCCCATACAATTTGCATATACAGTCAATCGATCTGCTCGTTATGAAGATCGTTGCAATCTAGAGAAGATTATTAAATATATATCTACCATTATAAGTCGCGAATTTAGAAGATATTTTATTTCAACACGGAATTGTTCTATTTTTTTCTAATTCTTATCTTATTCAAATACAAATCCGAATAGCATAATAAGTACTGTATAATGTTTAACTTTTGCAATTATTTCTGAAAAAAATATTTTCTTTCAGATTTGTAAAAGTTCAAAGTAAATATATTTCGAGATATTTAACTAAGTAATTGAATTGCTAAATTCGTCAAATCAAAATATTACCGGCTTGTTGCGTTCTTTAGAATAAAGTTCGAAAGAAAATGTATTTGTATTTTTCTAATCATAATAAACATAATCCCGTGAGCATCCATAACTGATGTCACAGCTGTGCCTCTGACCGGGAGGTCCTGAGATCCGAGCCCCGACGATGGAAGGATTTTCGACATTAGCCAAAGAGCTAGGTCGAGCTCTGACGCTGTCTGGAGGAGAATTCTAGTAGCCAACTGCTCTGATCGATAGTTTTCCCTGGTTTTTTTTTTCGATCAATCCCAGGTGAACGCCGGAGCAGTACCTTAACACACGGGCCACACACCCCTAACTTACACACACTTACACGTTTACGTGCTCTACACTACTACACACGCCAGGAGACTGGTCGGAAGCATAGAGTTTGTTCCGGCTGGTGCGGTTCCCCGCTGGTGGAAGATACCTGGTTGATGGAAACCCCGCTGTCCGACGATAGGTCCGTGCCGGATCTCACCATCCAGGGAGGAAAGGTCATCGCTACCTCACGAGGAAGAAACATGCACCACACTTAAGGGGCTAATGACCTTAGCAGTTGCCGCGCCCGAAATAACTTGTAAGCAATCAATCATCTAAACATAATAATTTCAATATAACACATCTTTAAGGTCGTTTGTTGATATGCGAACAAAATCGTTTCACACAATTTAAAAGATTGGGAAGACTTTTGAAAATATTTAGAAATATAGAAATATGTTTTGGGAGTCAAAGGCTGTTGGCAACATTTTCGTTCAATCTGGACACATTCATCAATTAGATTAATGATAGACATCAATAACAGTAGATTCGACATCATTTAGAAATAATCCCTATTATTACTATATCTCGATTTGATGTGCCTCAATGTTTAAATTATTGGCGTCCCCTAGTCACGTACTATATGTTATGTAGTTCGTGAAGTGAGGTAGATGCAATCCACTCTGTCATTGTCGCTTTGAGATGCATGTCTCGTTTTACACTTTGAGTGCCACTGTTCTACCCCGCTGACCTCAGTATCCAACTCTATTCAACGAGAACGATCCTCATTTCTCACGTAAAATCCGAGTTCAAAACCCGAAGCGTGAACTTCAAAGGGTTGGACAAACGTTTAGCGTAATCGATGCCACCTCCAATTTCGTGGACAATTTATCATCGACCAGCAGAGTAAGAGGGAGGATTGAACAAACACTTCAGATTGCGTTATATTTTGTGAACTGTAGTGTCCGTCCTCCGTCCTTTCGTGTTCTAGACAAAATATCAAATCTATCTTGCTGGAAAAATAAAGAATGAAAAGTGAAAGATCACACACCGCTAGTTGTTGCTGTTGTTGCTGTTGTTGTTGCTGTTTTTGTTGCTGTTTTTGTTGCTGTTTTTGTTGCTGTTGTTGTTGCTGTTGCTGTTGTTGTTGTTGTTGCTGTTGTTGTTGCTGTTGTTGTTGTTGCCGCTGTTGTTGTTGTTGTTGTTGTTGCTGTTGTTGTTGTTGCTGCTGTTGTTGTTGCTGTTGTTGTTGTTGCTGTTGTTGTTGTTGTTGTTGCTGTTGTTGTTGTTGCTGCTGTTGTTGTTGTTGTTGCTGCTGTTTTTGTTGTTGCTGCTGTTGTTGTTGTTGTTGCTGCTGTTGTTGTTGTTGTTGTTGCTGTTGTTGTTGCTGTTGTTGTTGTTGCTGTTGTTGTTGTTGCTGTTGTTGTTGTCGCTACTGTTGTTGTTGTCGCTACTGTTGTTGTTGTCGCTACTGTTGTTGTTGTCGCTACTGTTGTTGTTGTCGCTACTGTTGTTGTGGTTGCTACTGTTGTTGTTGTTGCTACTGTTGTGGTTGCTACTGTTGTGGTTGTTGTTGTTGCTGTTGTGTTTGTTGTTGCTGCTGTTGTTGCTGTTCTAAAATACTGTGTCTATCTTCGGAAGATTTTGTGATGTCATAAAACTTCCTCTGTAAAGATTATTTAATTCAGCATTATACATGACTTTTCAAATAGTAATGTTTCTATAATTGCCTTTTCTAAAAAATAGTTATGAATTATAATTTTTCCAAGTCAAAGGAAAAATCTTTCAGTTTTAGGCCAGATTATGTGATCTAAAACACTTGTATGAATGAGTTCGTACTTTATTAGAACAAAACGTAGATATATACACAAAAATAAGAATAATAATGGTTATATCAGTAATATTATCAAATGTACTTAATGATTACTATCAATGGGTAATGAGAATCATTAGACCCCAAAAAACAACACAGTGAAGTCCAAACCGGTTTCAAACCCAACACTTGATAGTATAAAACAAATCAAAACTTTTTGTTGTACCTAGTAGTCTCAAGAGCTAATATTATTGCAATAACACTAGGGAACATAATGGTCATCTTCGAACACAGAAGGAAGAAGCAAACACGAAAGCCTAATTTTGTTGATATTTTATGAAAGTGGTATGGCGTAACTGAACAAGTATTTATAATTATACAGTAATAATTTACTATTATAACAAGTATAATAGTAAAATACGAAATGGTACAGTATACAGATGCGGTATATTTAAAAGCTGGGGCGTGATAAGTTTTTTTATTGTGATATCGTAATCTGCATATGGAATTGAGTACGTGGAGCACACTACCTTCCTGGAGGTACAAATATTGTTCCCTAGTGTAATTATTATAGTAAATTTACTCTACTCTAAGGGTGGGTACCTAAATATGTAGTACATTTACCGAATATCGAAAACCGCTAGGAAGATTTTCCTATTTTTCATACGGTTTGTTCTAGACGTCATAGACCAGACAGTCTAAATTAAAAATTATACAGTTTAGAAGAGATCAATTACTTAGTGAATTATTCGGAAATTTATTTAGATAATAATATTGTAATTAAATTAACCTTTGTAAATAAATCAAAAAAATTTTAATTAAAGCACTCTTATTTTTTATTAAAAACATTGTTATAAAATAGAAATGTGGAAACTAAAATGAAGAGTTATAGAGATACCCATTCCGTATAATATTTGTATACATTATTAATATACTAATTACTTTAAATTGCTGTATTTTATTTCAAGAGTTAATATTTCGTGTGCTAGTGACGTTTGGAACGAGTTTGCTAATTTTCATCGGTATAATAAACTATTAAGTAAAACTTGTTCAACTCGGAACCTCAAGGGAACAGTAGTTTGCTTTTTTATTAGACAAGAATTCGCATTATACAATGAGCATATAATGCGTTTAGCAGGGCCACAATTCATGTTCACATTAGACAGATTCCCCCATTATGTACGTTCCGCATTGAGCGAGTGTTACTGAGATTAATAAATAAGTTTTAATCAATTAGTTTAATGACTAACAGAGTTTCACTGAATTAACTGAGTTTAATGAATAAGATTAACTAAATTTAATTAATGACTGTTTAATAGATGATTTTAATGCGCTATACTTGGTAAAAAAATAATTATAAATTGACTTTGAAAAAAAGTGAAATGAAATGAGAGTTCGAGTTTAGAACCTTGAGTTGTGATTGTGTTGTATGTGACGATCCAAGGCGTTGATGTATTGATAATTTCAATTTCTTCTACTATTAATGTAATAATTAATTTCTTAAGTAATTTTAAAATAAATTTTGATATTTTATAAGAAATAAATAACAATTTTTAATGAAATTTTACGGTAGAGCATTAGTAATCATGAAACTAGACGAAAATTGAGCCATAAAATCCAAAATCGAGTCAAAAGTAAAAACGCGGTCTGGATACCTGGAGCTTTTTGTGTATATTTTACAATTACACGTATATTATAAAAATTAAAACTGGAGCACATTCATTTTTTGACAAAATATGATACTACGACATCGGATTATTTTAAACTGACGATTATAATAGAAAGGTACGTCACAACTGGCTTTATTCTATAGTCTTTATTAAAAACGTACAACTCGATGTCGGTTCAATAAAATCATGAATCTCCGGGATTCCGTAAATTTACACAAAGTCAGCTACTTTAAGACGAAAGGTCACCGTGGTGGTTTGTATGTTCGCAGCGCCACCAACTACTTCCTGGTGAGCCTATCGGCGGCCGACCTCCTGGTGACGCTCATTTGCATGCCAACCGCAGTGGGCAGCGCTGTCACCCGACTCTGGCTGGCCGGAGAGGAGCTCTGCAAACTCACCGCATACCTGCAAGGTGAGCAGCGTGGCTAGCCTGCGGAGCGCCAATTATTATTACGAGGATTATCGCCGACAGGCGTCTTTTCTGGTCGCACCACAAAGCTGCATCGTGTTGCCTCAATTGCTACACACAATTGCAGGGTGCTTTCTATATATTGCATTGCTAGTTACTTATTAGAGATTGCAATTCCAGATTTCGTTGTATTCCAAGTTTTCAAGTTTTCTAAAATAAGCGTGTATTTCATAGAATTTTTCAATAACGAGAAGATATTTTTACGATGTATTCATTTATATATCATTACAAATTGTACTGAATTGCCAAATGTATGAAAAATAATTGAATAGTTATCATGAAACAATTATCCACGACTAGTTTAAAGTTATCATTTTTTCCTAAATCAGAATATATTTTCATTTTGCAGAACACATGCATTATTAAATGTTTAAATTGCAAAAAATGTGTGTTCTCAAACTACTTTCAAATAAAGGACATGATCCTTGGCCTAGAAATGTTCTTTCATTTCATTCAGGAAGGTGTAACTTTACTGTCCATCCGAACACTATACGGAATATAGTGGTACTCTAACAGCAAATTCTTTCTTCTATTATTCGTAATGATTACGTAATAATGTAATATTTCAACTTCTTTCCCACATATAATTGAGCCATCTCTTGAAAAATCATCTTCATCAAAGGAATTTTGAGAGATTCGAAAAGTAATATCTTTAATTTTTGAAAATTCAAAGATTTTAATGAAAACATAAATTGTTCCCTAACATTGGATGCATCATGCTCAATCTCTAAAAAAAAGTTGATGAAACAAATTTGCAGACTTTATTTACAATACCTTTCATATGTATTTTTGGAAAATTGACATGTTTTGACTCAAATTTATGTGGATAATGTTAATACTTTACCCAATTTAATGATATAATTTTGAAGAATATTTTCGTTAAGAATAAAATCCTTAAAAGGTGTAGGAGAGGGTAAGAACTTTGAACTTTTGGCAATTTAAGGAAATAAGGGGCTTTAATGATGAAGACTTTTACCATTTTTATCAGTGGTCATTGGTCTGTCACCAATCAAACTTTTTTAAGAGAAATAGTGTAGTCATTTCTAATATATGTCTGAAAACTTCATAAAGTCTTCATATAAAGTACCCTCAAAAAATAAGACCCATTTCTAGAACGCCTTCAGTTCAGCCAGATCGATTTATAAATTATTCATTTGAGGAAAATCCTGTGTATTCTTTAAATTTAAGTATTGTGCAAAAACAGATAAGCGGCCCAACTTTAAACAACCGAGCTGGCGAACTGACTTACAACTTTATACAATACTTATACTTAAAACAATATTACTATAAAAAAACTATTTCCATAAAAAACTCGACTTATTTTTGTAGTACTATATAATGTTCCTTTGACTGCTTATATATACTGTACTCTGAATATACTATATAATAGTACAGACTATAAGAAAAAATTCGTAAGCTATTGTGTTTTCTTCCAGGAATTCACAATAATGGTTCACAAAAATTAACCAGAAGTATGCTTTTCAAATAGCTTTTCAAAATCAGTGTTTCTCTTCTCTCTCAGAAACGAACAGCGAACACACACGAGAGGCTTGCTTTGAACTACGGAGATGCAAAATGATTCCTGGAAGTGAACAGCTGCTCTACGGATGTGTATTTACCTTCCCTACGATAATTAGTTTAAAATGGTATTGAAAAATGCACATGTATTCCTTTGCTTCAATTTCTGCATATGTTAATGACTTGCGATACACTCTGGGAATTGCGCAGTTTCGTGAAACTCCGTAGAGAATATTTTGCCCCTATTTGTGTTTTTTTCCTTGGAGGACCTTTCAAACTTATATTTCTGGAAACTAAAGTCTAGATTTGGGCCAGTTTTAAACATAAGGTACCTGGAAAATTAAACAAAACACTCGAATTTTAACAATTTTACATTCGTAAAATACAGAATCGTAACATTAGACACAAAATATATGCAATGAGTTATACACGTTACCTTGATAAAAAGTATATGTTATTGAACAAGGACGCGTGTTTTCATTTGAGAAACAAGAACCTATTCATACTAGTAGATCCACTCCTTTTTTGGTGCATTTGCGACAGCGGATATACTGCACCAGTCATTTCATCACATCAACATACAAGAGATATAAGTACCTAATTGGCAGTGAAAAACTATTTTTATGTCGTTTTTTAACAATTTGGTCATATAGCAACTAACTGTGGTTGATTTACCTGTTGGAAGAACACATAAGATGACGAACACGAAGATGACACATAAGACGAACACACACAAACATCGATGACCGCGGCGGGATTCGAACCAAGACAGCTATGGCCCTTCAGCCACAGCGACCTCATATATTCAGGCCGGCGAACTAATTTTTCGAATTGCTGGAACTTTAATTTACGCGGACTGGAACCGAATATCAGTTAGGCGCTAAGAGGAACATGAGGGAAATCTTACGAGAGTGGCAAATATGCATCAGACATCATAAGTCATCTACGTCCGAACATAACGCATGATGTTACCGATCGGTCTCGCTGACTTGCTTTTGCAGTGTGGGAAAGCACGCGCGCCTTTCATCTGCCAGTGAAATCTCTCTGTAGGTCACTGTCATGGATTGGAACTGTCATTATCGCTCACTCTCGGCTGAATCGCCGGAGCTGCTCCATGCGCAAGTTGTTTCCGTGTGTTTCGCTTGTACATACATTATTTGTATCATGTAACTCTCGGTGGGCATCGCTTGACTCACGTAGTTTAAATTCTCTATTATAGAGAGATGTGAGTATTTTTTATATCCGGAGACAATTGTCATTCAAATTCTTAAAGAAATGCATTTCAATGCAATGCAATTTCAAAATATATACTTTGGTACCTCTGACTTGTGCATATACATTTCTTATCATTTTTTCCTACACTTTTTGCTCTAAATAAGTTACGCTTAGACTTACTGGAAACGTTCAAGGAGGATATGAAGGTACAGCAAACAAACAGTATGATTTGCTAAAATAATGTATTCATGAGGCACACTTCAAACTACTGGATGTGCTGAAGATCCACAAATATTCGAGTAGTAAGAATAGATTCTCTCGTATTACTACTAATCTCCTTGAGGTAATAAGAATGACAAAACAAATAGTTCGCATATGGAAAATTGCTAAGGGTCACAAGAGGATAGAACGTGAGAGTAAGATCTGAGATAATCTAGAAAGTAAATTTAGCAAAGAATGAAATGTGGGTAAAGAAATATGAGAAAATTGAAAGTGTAGTAGAAGGCAAGAGAAGCCCGGAAGACGTTGGCTCCGGCTCGCCAAATTGTACAGGAAAGAGGAAAAGTCTCGTTAATGTCAAACGTCGATTACAAATTATATTTCCAAGGACTCTTAACAGAGAAAGGGAGGTTTTTGACAATGTTACTAGAATTATTTGAAGTAGCAGGGAACCGGTACTAGAAGTAAAGACAAACTGAAACAGCTTTAAAAAAGTAAAAAAATCACAAAGCTCCTGGCTCCAGATGCATTCCTGCTGTTGGTAAATGTAGCCCAGTGGAATAAAAAAAGTTCTGACAACGTTGTTAATAAATGTCTTCGAGAAGATAGCATATCGGTTGAATGGATACGCGGTTTTAAAACTCCAATGCACAAGAAAGGTACCTTAATAGGAATACCTTTGACAACTACAGAGGGATTCGCGTCACCAGAACCATTCGAAATATGGATGGGCGAATTATAACAAAAACGAATCGAAAAGAAAAGGAGCGATGTAGAAGAACAAAGTATTTTCTGATTTGACAACCCGTGAGAGATCGCTCAGGGCATCAATTGATGTCACTGCAGTCCCTCTGTCCGTGAGGTTCTAGGTTCGAGTCCCGAGGTGGCCGGAATGTCGATACTAGCTTGTCATCTAGGTCGAATTCAGCCGGAATCTGCTCTAATCGGTAGTTTTCCATGGTTTTTCGTATCAACACCAAGCGAATGCCGGAGCAGTACCCTAACAAACGGGCCACAGAACGCGCGCATCTTTCCTACATCTTACTCGTGATATCCTCTCCCCTTACACACACACACACACACACACACACAATAACACGCACTAAACACACATTACATATGCATACATGACGGGAGACTGGTCGGGTGCTTAGAGCTTGTCCCGGCAGAGGCGGTGCCCCGCTAGTGGGAGATACCTGGTTAGGGAAAACCCGGTATCACTAAAGGACTAATGACGGTTGTTGACGTGCCCGGAACTAAAAGAATCAATCAATCAAAACCGATCTGACTGATCATGTACGGATATTTTCTGTTGAAACATCTGTCGGAAAATCGGTAAATGAGAGGATTGGATACATCTGGTTTACGTGGATCTGATATTGCGGATGATATTGTCCCCAGAGTGAAATTACAAAATGTGTCGGTAATCTACGACCTCTACAATGATACATAAGCCATAAAAATTAGAATACCACCTCGGCTGACTTGAATACCATGAAATGGGTGCTATCTCTAAATAGTGATATTCTATAAATACGTCGATGGTCGACAGACAATAAACGAAAAAATGTCAATACTTGGGAGTAAAAATAAACGAATCTTGCCTGCAAACTTTAATGTTTGCGGATGATAAAGATATCATTGCTGCGGACAATGAAGATGGATATGATAAAGAAACGGAAAAAAGAGTACAAGCCCTGGGGGCTGGAGATCAATGTTGACAAGACAAAATACTTACCTATAGCGTCAGACATGAGGGATTTGGACAAGGGAACGTGATAAAAGCATTCTACGAATCGAAATACTTTGTAGCTATTTTCCACTGTGAGCCAGGTGTGGAAAAGCGAAAATATAAAAAACACAAGTCTGTCTAGGAGCTAAATATAATATGAAATAGTACTTAACTTGTGGTGCTACAGAATGACAAACATTTTCCCGTTGTAGTTCTCTATTTCCTTTTATCTCGGCTATATATTCGGATTTGTCACATACTCTTACCAAGCTGCCATCTACAGCCGCCCAAAGTACATTTTTAATATTTTCTTAATTTTACGGTTTCCTAATTGTAGAACGGAAGTATTATTTCATAAATATTAAATAACAGTAAAACCTCATCCTAAATGGCAATTTTTCTCCCAAAAAAATGAACCCGCTTTAAAAAAATTGCGTTTAAGCGCTACTGTAAATTTTGAAATTTGAAGTTCTTTTTCACAGAAAAATTTTGAGTTTTCTAAAAACTTCATCAGAAGTTATTTGAAGCACTTTAACTCATAAATAGAATAGTGTTTGCAAATTGTTGTAAATGTATACATTTTAATTTGTATACATTTCATAATTTCATACATTTTTTGTAATATGTATACATTTCAATTTAAAAGAAACAGTGTGAGAGATTTTTTGGAAATAATTACATTTGTGTAATTTTCGAAAAAACAGAAAAATACCCCGAAATGAACTTACGTCGTATTACCGATTGCAATTATCACTATCCGTTCGAAAATTTTGAAGAAACCAGTGGTGCTGCCAAAGCACATACTTTCTCGTATTGTTTCTAAGTGCTCCGCAACATTATACTACTACATAAAACAGCAAAAGTGTTTTCAAGCAGCAAATTATTTTTCTGCTCCAAGACTCGTACTCAGATCCTCAGAGCTAACGTGCCGACACTCATATCACTACGCTACAGAACCGTCACATGATCGTACTATCATAAAGGCATAGAAAGGTAAATCACAGTTCCATGTAAAAAAAACTTTATATATAGTACGGAGTTGCTCTACAGCTGTCGCCGTTTCACCTCTCTCAGTCTCCATGCCTCTCTATTGGACCATAGATCATCTGGCATTTCTCTTGCCGTCATAGCCTCTTGCACTCCCTGCTGCCATGCAAGTCTGGGTCTTCCTCTCTTCTGTCTTTCCGTCGGCACCCATTTCAGGACTCGTTTCGGCCATCTTTCGTCTGTCATTCGCTCAAAAAAACTTCAGCAATCAAAACATCCCTTAGAAATTCCCTGAGTCTCCAGTTCGTTCAGATAAATCAGGGGATATCAATTTTAAAGAAATTCATCAGGTTTAGGCGCTAGCGTTGAGCACAGACGGACAGACAGAATTACGGACTGATGGACGTATTGCTGGTAATCGATGTTTCGATATCAAGAACCACGAAAACATAGATGCTGGCCACACCATGTGTTATAGGATTTTTTTCTAAATTTAGCAAAATACTTCCAATTTTTCATTACTAGTGCCAGACTATAAGACTTTTCCTGGCGAAAATTGGCCGTTTTCCAGTGTACGATTACATAACTTCATCTTAAAAAGAATTCGCGCAGCGAGAAAATAATAAGTGTGTGTGTGTATATATATATACACACACACTATGTATATAATCTTCATTATTTTACTTAAATAGGTTCGTTCAGGTGGTACAAAACCTCAACAATTGATTTGCCGACACATAGTTTTACAAATCAAATAAGAGATGTGAAAATATTTTAAAAGTTAAAAATTCTTAAGTTAAAATTTTATTTAAATTAAAATTAATTTATTTAATTAAAAAAGTTAAAATTTTAAGTTTCTGGAATCCAATGCAGAAACATCAAATCTGCAGTTCGTTTACAGTTGCAAATTGGTTTTATATAGCTCGGGAACGAAAATGTCGTGTTTTAAAAGTTGCTAATCTCGCGCTTTTAAAATTTTATTTTTATTTATTTGTTTTTTGTTTGTTTATCTTTAAATTTTAGTCATCCTTCAACTATTTATAGTTAAAATGATGGAAAGAGATTCTGGAACTCGAGAAAACGCTCGCAGATGATCTGCGCATACATTTTTTACTTTTTTTTTTTTACTAAATAAATCTAATCTAAACGCATTAGCAATGTACGGTGTCGAGCGATCCGGTGATGCAATCAAACTTCTTTATCCATCGTGGCCTTTTCGTCCCCCAACATGGACTCCGATGACACTACCTCGAGGGCACACCCCAACACACTTGTATAGGTATCGTTTGTTCTCGATTATTGCAGCGCCGGAACTAGTATGCTCAGACAAAGCGTTCCCAGTGCACCGACCTCGTCGTCGTGAACGATCGGTACTGTGTTCCTTTGACTGGGTTTCAGACCATCCTATCTTCTGACTTTTGAGCGGGTTCGTATTAAGGAGCGCAAACAAGAACTCTCATTTGTGAGGCATGATGAAACTGAAATATCATTGAATAGAACTATGAATATTGAATTATTGAATATATTGATTGAATCGGTTGATTGAATATATTGAAGTATGTTGAATACTTTCACTACATGGCTGAATACGACTCTTATAAAAGTTCATCTGGAGACTTCAACACCGTTTCGGAGAGAATTAATCTATATTTAGAACATTTTAATAGAAGGTGAGGAGATAGCCAGAGCGAGAACAGGGCGTTATACTGACACCGCCAAGTTGATCCCACTTGCATAAATGAATGACACAACGGACTGGTCGACACTTTTATGTACTAGTTACTCAATATGTCAGAAAAGTGTAAATACTTATCCCCTTTTATTTGTTTTATTCAATGTTTGCATTTATATTTTTTATATTTTGTATCCAATTAATATTTGACAGAACTGAGAATTTAAATGTTTTGCAAAGATCATCAGAATGCGTTTCACGTGAGAGCGAAGACAAAAAACTAACTGATGGATTAAAATAAATATTTTTATAATAATTGTTTGAGCACGGCGCATAAATTTGAATTTATTTAAGTTCTAGAGCAAAATGAAACCATCCAGGAATTAACAAAAATATTCCCTCAATAAAATGATACTGTGAATTATATTGAATAAATTCTGCAAGTAATGCAACAAAATAGATTTGCACGTACATTCCGTTTTAATTTCTTTATTCTAAATGGAAAAAATAGTTTAACAATCTTGACTATAAAATCATTATGCGCATCTCTCCTTGCTAGAAACTGATACATACGGTTGTAATTCAAACATTTATTCGAACATAAACCGAAACGTTACAGATTATTTATTGCAACCTTAAACATAAATTTCCTGAAGTTCTGATAATGCCTTTGGCGTTTATTGCAGGAGCTTTAAATCACTGACACAGCATTCCCTTCAGTACATCCCAGAAATTTCTCGCAGTATGTCTTCTCACTCCGACAAATCTTCGTCTCGATCCGCAATCTTATTCAATTGCCGAGCATAAAGGAATTTCAGCTCTATCGTCCCATAATCTCACGATTAGTTTTCAGGCAAGGATGTCGCGCTTTCAGGGTCCGTTGCCATGGCAGCAGACGACTTATCTCCTCCACCTCCTGTCAATTCGTTCCCTTCTTGGCCACCCACTCCCGCGGCGCCCTCGCAGTTCTCTTCGTCGCTCCCGTTACTCTCGGCGACGAAGGGCTCTGCTGTCCTCGGCAGCGTCGCCGTTCATTTCACTATCGCCGCGCCGAGCCATCTTTTTCTGACGTTCGCCTGGTTTCATGGGCGCAATCGATATGCGGTGTACTCGCGTCGCCGAACAGCGGTGTCGGATGGTGGGTGGCCTTCGACCTCACGCGAGAGGTATCCCTTCAACATCGCCCACTGAAATAAAATATGGTGCTCCATTCAAAACATGTGCAACTGCAACTCGAACGGTCACTTTTAAATTATGGTTGTAAGACTACAGTGACAGTGCGTACTATGTTACGTAAAAGTTTATCTTACGTATAATGAAAAAACTTAAAATCTTGTGAAAACAAGACTTA